CACTGCTCAGATATCTCTCCTTAGCTAAAGACTCTGGATATCTCATATGTGTCTCCTTTAAAGCTTTAGAAGAGATCTCAACAACATCACACACTGTGCTCAGATATTTCTCCTTAGCTAGAGACTCTGGATCTCTCACATTTGTCTCTTTTAAAGCTTTAGAATAGATCTCAACAACATCACACACTGTGCTCAGATATTTCTCCTTAGCTAGAGACTCTGGATCTCTCACATTTGTCTCTTTTAAAGCTTTAGAATAGATCTCAACAACATCACACACTGTGCTCAGATATTTCTCCTTAGCTAGAGACTCTGGATCTCTCACATTTGTCTCTTTTAAAGCTTTAGAATAGATCTCAACAACATCACACACTGTGCTCAGATATTTCTCCTTAGCTAGAGACTCTGGATCTCTCACATTTGTCTCTTTTAAAGCTTTAGAATAGATCTCAACAACATCACACACTGTGCTCAGATATTTCTCCTTAGCTAGAGACTCTGGATATCTCATAGTTGTCTCCTTTAAAGATTTAGAAGAGATCTCTACAACATCACACACTGTGCTCAGATATTTCTCCTTAGCTAAAGACTCTGGATATCTCATATTTGTCTCCTTTAAAGCTTTCGAAGAGATCTCAACAACATCACACACTGTGCTCAGATACTTCTCCTTAGCTAGAGACTCTGGATCTGTCACAGTTGTCTCTTTTAAAGCTTTAGAATAGATCTCAACAACATCACACACTGTGCTCAGATATTTCTCCTTAGCTAGAGACTCTAGATATCTCATATTTGTCTCCTTTAAAGCTTTAGAAGAGATCTCAACAACATCACACACTGTACTCAGAGCTTTAAATAAGACCATTGTGAGAGTGTTAGAGTTTTTGTCTCAGGAGACAAGTTTGAGAAGCAGGAGACTCGAGCAAAAGTTTCCATTCAATCTTAAGGTAACCTAATTTCTGTCTAGGAGAAATATTTGAAATGGTAAAGAGATCTTTTTTATTTTATTTTTCTTCACTCTGGTTAGCTTCAATGCCATTTATCAACACCATTTCAATCAAAGACAATACATGCATTGTCATATTTAAAGTTGTTTTATGAAGACAGTGTTTTATTGCACAATGACTTAACAGAGGAAACCATAACCTATATTTACATGCATGCAAAAATGGGCTGTACAAGGCAAAATTTTAATGCTAAACAAAGCAAAAAAAAAAAAAAAACTGGTACACTAGTGTTACATTTGTTTAAAAAAAAAGGTATTGCTCATATACTAAACATCTTGCACTTGTAAGTCCTTTCTAGTGTGTTTGGAAAATGTGGTGTATACAATGCTGGACAATGAAGATAAATTTAAACAGTTAAACTAGTAATCCTTGTCTCATGTCTCAGTTGTGTCTACTTTAATTTCTCCTAAGGAATTTTAGGAGACACATCTTAGACACCGTTGAGACTAAAATGAGAAATACATGAGAATCACCACTACGTCTCCTGAGGTTAGAAAGAGCAACCACTGAGCAATAAAATATTCCTATAATGGAGTCTTGATAGAGATTGCAGCAAGACAATAAAGAGATATTCTATGTTTCTTCCACCACATTCTCAGTTTTGACTCTTTTTCTCTCAAATATTTCTCATGTCTCATTTGTGTCTACTTCTATTTTATTTTATTTTATTAGGAATTTTAGGAGACATATCCGAAATGCTGTTGATACTAAAATTAGAGATATATGAGAATCTCATCTAAGTCTCCTGAGCTTAGGAAAACCAACCACTGAGCAATACATTTTTCCTATGGGCAGATTCGCTAAAGAAATTATGCAAATCAGGCAATGGTGTAAAAACACATTTGGACTGAACGCAATTAGCACATTAAGCCAGTTCCGAGTGCAATAAAATAAAAAAAATAAAAATGCTGAAATAGATCAAAACGTTTTACCAAACTATAATTACAAATAAACTAAACTAAAATAACATAAAAAAATAATAAAACAAAATAAATCCAAAAACTAAAAAAAAGAAATAATAATAAAAGAAATGTAAAAAATAAAAGAAATTTAAATATATAATTTTCCACACTGTTCGCAAAATTAAATCAAGGAAGTTAGCTACCATGAAACAATTTAACAATACATAAATACAGCAAAATATATTGCAAGAGCAATATTTATCTACATATATTTTTAATACAACATTTTAATACATGACTTCAGTGAACATTTTGATTGATGACACAAAGGAATCAGTGTTTTGAATGAATTCATTTAAACAACACTCGAATCAGTTCTTTAAAATGAAAAAGTGCACTCAACTATACCAAGTGTCTGCACATATGTGTGGTTATAACTCCATCATGTGATCATCATTTGATGAATACACAAACAAAATGGATCAATCTTAAGTAAATGGCACACGTTTTTTTAAGAATATGCAACAAATTGTCTAATTTACATAGAAGGAGCCATGCCTGTATTGAAAATAAATTTTATAAAAGACTTAATTACAATGATCGCGCATCATTTTGTGCTTGCTCAAACTAGTTTGCAGGTTGTTCATGAATAAGACACAGGGGTTTGCGGTGAAATCCCTCACACTCTTTAGCAGCTCATATAATGCACTTACTTTCACAACATCTTGAAATCACTCATTCTAATAGTCCTTCATGCTTTACCTTTTAATCAGAGAAGGAGAGATTAAGATCGATTGAGTCTCGGGTAAATAGCATTGTGTGGAGAGAAGGCTGACTAAGGGAGCGGCACACAGTGGACACAAATTGAGGCACTAAATCCCAACGGGATACAGTCTCTGCCTCCTGGCCATTGTATGTGTCATGTGGCATTTGGGTTTTCTGGACTAGAGCACCTGATTAAACCAACAGCTTTGTGAGAGGCAAACAGATGCAGGGTGTTGCTGCAAGAATGCGATTTTAATTATAAAACGCTGAGAGGTGTTCTTGATATCTTTACAAACATTTCAGCACCGAAACCAGGCATCGGCATTGTCCACGTGCTATACTTCTGTCCTATCTTGAAGGTTTCTATGATTACATCTCCTCTAAGCCTCAGTTGTTTTATTGCAAATGCCACCCTGGCTGCGCGGATGTACTCCAGGCCTGGCTGAAAGGTCTCAGTCTTTATTCTAACATAATTGAAAACAGATTTATTGGATTAGGGCGAGTCTGCGTCTGTGCGAGTGCACTAGATCAATCCCACCCTTCTTTGTCATAAACAATACTGCAGCGACGTCTTGACAAACAAGCTTTGATGACCTTGTTTGGGAGAACAGAATTTTACAGCGGGTGATTCAGAAATAAATGTATAATTATATGAGTCAATAGGAATGGAATGATTTGCACCTCCTTGTAAAGACCTTCAGAAGTATGAGGCCTTATGAGAATTCAGGCAATTAAAAGATGGCCAAAAGCGGTGGCTTAGAATGTGACCGTATGTATGGACAAGCTGTATGGATGTCTGACTGTATCTTACTATTGGCGGTTTGTTTACCACAATTCCAGGAAATGTAAATGGTAAATTTCTGGGTCTTAGTGAAAAGCTGATGCCATTTTTTTTAAAATTATTTTTCTGTTTTTGTTTTTTTTAAGGGGAAAGGGGAAAGTTTATTTGAAGGATAATTTCACAGATTTTGAACCAGCTTTGTATTGTCGGTTGTACAATGTCGGTTGTACAATGTGTACTCTTTTTCCGTATTACCTGCATCAAGATATCCCAGTATTTTTGTCAGTAAAAGTTACTATTGTCTAAAAAATAACTAATTTTTTCTCTCACTGTATCATAAAAATATATGTCATTTGTTTTTTATTTTAAATAATATGAAACCTACAGATCGTACTTCTGCAGTTTTTGTTTAGAATTTTTTATGAAACATGCAGGATGAGAACAAAAAAATAAGAAAAGAAACAGGAAAGGAAAAAAGATAAATTAATAATGAAAAAAAAATAAGTGAACATATACACATTAATACACAAAAGTAAAACACTGAAATGTACAAACAGTATTTCTGCATTATTGTATCCCCGATCACAAACAGATGGATCGAACTCAGTGAATTCACAGCCATTTTTTTTTTCTTTTTTCTTTTACCACAGCCATTTCTTTCTGTCTAGTCATGTATACATAGCACCAATCAAAAAAATATATACAGTGGGTACGGAAAGTATTCAGACCCCCTTAAATTTTTCACTCTTTGTTATATTCTTTTTACTTTATACTATTTTTATGGTCATCCTATAATTTGTTGAAAACTCTCCTTTAAAATTGTGCAAAAATTGGAATATAGCCTACTAGTTTGACATTAAATAAAGTTGAGTAAATTACAAAATTGTCCTCTTTGGGGTATACTATCCCTTCAAGCGTATTAACAAAATAAGTTTTATAAATCTGTGATTATCAAACTTTTCAACCACCATTGAGCAAATCAAAACATGAAAGTACCAGCTAGCTGTAACAAAGATCCCTCTGACTTTTTCAGCTCTGCACAAAATCACATCTCTTTAAACACAAGCTTAAGATCTGAGTGACATAATGACATATTTTGATTGATATTCCAGTTGTTCAGATAAATCATGCTGCTGTAAGAGCCTCATCAGTCCGTTCATTACCCTTTACAGATCTGTGGAAGAGCCCTATCAGAGCAGAAACTAGCACACTCACACATTTAGAGGATTACAGTGTATTTGCATGCATTAATATGCACATTTTGGAATTATATTCTGTCTAGAAACACTTGGAACTCTTCTGTCAGACATGTTACATTATTGAACTGGATCGCTATATTCTGGAGGTTCTGGACCCCAAGAAATCTATAAAAAAGAAAAAAAAAGAGACATATCAGTGAGCTTGATAGCGCTTCACATAAGGCTCATTGTCAGATGATAGATAAGATAGACATGCATTACAGAGGGATACTGCAGATCTCTCAAACAAGACAGTATCGTATTATACTTAATTCCATATCTGAAGGATAACCTTATTTCCTTGCAGGAACTTGATTGCTATCCATCAAAAGACTACATCTGCGGAAGTGAGGTAAGAAGTTCAGAGATGAAACTTTCCAAGCCAGTGAGTTGAAGCATTATCTATAAGCATCTCTTGCTTGTGAATGAGGGAAAAGGCTGGATGACTATTGCGTCCAGAGGCAAAGCACAACTGCACGGCTTTATTGTAAATGTGTTGCAATCGCACATAGCCCTTGCACAGTCACTTGCTCAACATGTACTGCAAAAGCTTTAGAGGGTTTAGGTCAATATCACAATACCCGTCCAGCATATTGTCCAGCATAACTGAGAAATATGTAAGAAATTATATTTTGCACAATTTAGATGTTAAAGTTTTTTGTATTCTGACATTTTCATGATGATGATTAATAATAATAATAAGGGTTTGCATAGTATCTGGTGTTCCATATAATACTATTAATTTTTTGTTTGTTCCTGGCAGGTTCCTGGCAGTCCACCTAACACAAGAGTAGAGTACCCCAGAAATTCAAGTCCAGGCACAAAAGCCCTAAATGATGTTTTGATGCTCAGTCTATTGTTTGCTCTTGGAAACCTCGCTATGTAGAACTACCTGAACTTCATAAGCCAGCGCAGTGAGGAAAAGGCTGACGGAAACTCCCTCATGATCATCTTCAGACCAAACTAATGCCTCTCTCCTCTACTGCAGCTTTCTTTCTTTCAGATAAACACCAAACAGAAAGAACACAGAGACACATATCGAAAAGACTGCTGCATCCTTGCCATGGCCGAAAGAGAATGTTGTATACCGAATGAGCAAACGGCCAAAAAACAGACATTACGTATAGCCGCTTGAGTCCAAAGTCTGGTGCCTAATTGGTGGACCTGCAACTTAAGACCCAGGCACAGAGCTTTCCAGTCTAGTCTACTACTTCCTGCCGCCCACACCACCCATAAAATGGGCGTCTCGCAGCACCCATCAGGCCTGAATTACCCGTTGTCTGGCACTGGATTACATCATCTCTTGAGAGGCATTCTCCATCCCGGCCCACTGCCCATTTATTGGATTTGCTGTGCTCTTCTTTGACAGCTGCTTTAGCTTTCTCATTGTGATTATTCCTTTTTGGTTCCGTCTTTTTTCCTTCTTTTGTCCACCAGTCGAAAAGGAGTAATTACTTTCCCGTGGTTCTTTTAAACGTGAAGTGTTTGAAGTTTAAATCTGTATCCTGTTGACACATCCGCCCTTGAGGTGGATGTCAAGGGCGACAGCTCTCTTAGTCACGTTCTATACTTAGTTTGACAGATTTGAAAAAGAAAAGAATGTTGAGATGAAGTTGATGAAAATGTACCAGTGGATCAACAGGAGGAGTAGATCTTTACAAACGGCTTTCGTGTGGGTTCACAATGTCAATGGGCTGCCCACACATGTATAATTTTGTCTGTGAATATGAATGTTTTTCTTTCCAAAAGTACAGCTGATGATTATTATGTGTTGTCTTTAATTGAATGATGATGAGACTCTAGAGAAAGCAGTGGGAGTGACAAGAACTGCATGATTGAAGAAGACCTGGAGGTGCTCATTCCACTAACCATTATTAGTCATGCTATAATCGATCTCTGGTTAAATGGAGTTCTACAAGAAAAACCCTGACAAGGATGGCTTGCATTTTGGGACGTTCATTGTCATGTGAATCATTGTGTGCAATTTATGATGTGGCCTTACTCTTTGTTTTTCCTCCTCGTTATTTTTTAGTTGCTGTGTGAAGTTAGAGTTTTGATGTTCAGAAGGTTTCTAAAAATGTATTCACCCCGATTCACAGGTTCAGTAAATGCACTAGATACGTATGACATTCCAAATACTGAAGTTATGAATAAAACAGACATTGATATATATACAGTGGGTACGGAAAGTATTCAGACCCCCTTCAATTTTTCACTCTTAAGTGCATTCCTGTAGCGATACCAGTACAATATCTCACGGTTCTCAACCAATCAGATTTGAGAACCAGAACGAACTGTTGTATAAATATATATACAGTATATCGATGTCTATATCAATGTAAAGTTCAAAACTATAAAGATGTATATATTGTGTCCTAGGCTTGTTACATACGTACCATTGCAAAGCAAATGATAAATATGAACATTCTTTGTGTAAATATGGCACTAATGGGAAATGGAAAAAACATTAAAGTTATGTTGTATCAGTGGGGATCTGTTAGTGAAAACATTAAAACATCAACAGGCAAATGTTTTTTTTTTTCATTAAAAGATTATTAAATACTTTAAAGTACTACAAGATTTATGAATACTCTGAGATTGTTTCTAAAAGGATCCAATGATGTAATAATCCACTCTATTTTACCAGATGCTCAAAAAATAGTTTCTTCTCATTTGGTGTGAATGTCCCTAGAATTATACTTTTGTTGACACATCTGGAATATATAGATATATAAATGGTATTTTTTTTAAGTATGCTGCCTTTTTGAGGAATATATATGTATGTGTGTGTATATATATATATATATATATACACACACACACACATATGTATTTTTCAAATATATGTAGATTTTCAAAAATGTGCTCTCATATTCAGTGGGAACAGAAGTAGCGGTAAAAAAAAAAGTGTGAATTCTCTGAAAGGTGTCAGTTTACATTTAGTCTTACAACCTTTTAACAAAAAGACAAAGTGAATTTGAATCTCAATGTACCTGAGCTGAAAGCATCTGCCATATGCTCCACAAAAACAGCACTGATACTGTACATCAAAAAGGCCCACTGGGGTTTGGATAAATTTGTGACAGAAGTGTGACTGTTGAGTTTGTGTGTAGCTTACGTGTACAGTACGTTTGTGTATGAGATTTTTAGCTATGGTTGGGCAGGGAGGGGATTTGGTATCAGGGAGAGACCATTTGAATGACAAATGTCAGCTTCAGATGCAAAGAAATTAACTATGAAAAAGAGTAGCACTTCACAGACAAATTCAGTGATGCTTTTGCTGTGTCACATGACTTTGATAAACCATTGTGATTTGATCACCTCTGGAATTAGCAGAGCTCTACATCATCTCATCACTGCTTTGATGTAAGGGTCACCTCCCTTTGTAGACTGCTGTGAGGTCCAGATATGCTAATACTGTGCTTGTTTCCTGATCAATAAAGCCACTTCAATTTTTACTGCTTTCCACATTTGTTATCTCACTGTGTTGAGGACATCCACTATGGTTAAAAAATAAAAGGCATGTTGCAAATGTGATCCTTAGGATGATAGTTAAAGGGGTCATGAACTGCCCTTTTTTATTATTTTGTACTGTTCTCTGAGGTCCACTTATAATGTTATCAAGATTTTTACATTCAAAAACATAATTTATAAGTAATAGGCTATTTTCTGTCCTGTTTTGACCCCCCTCATCGGAACGCTCTGTTTGAATAGGCATGACGCATTGTAGACAGCCTTGTCTGACAGCCTACATTCTTCATAGATGGACGCTGCTGTGATTTAGGTTAAAAACACATAAATACAAACTATCTGTAATAACAGACAAAGCAACAGTGATCACGTAATAAAAAACAGTTACTCACACTTGTGTAGTGCGACATTACTGTCGGATCCAATATGTTGGTACAGCATCGTCCTTTAGTTTCAATCTTTCTGAAAATCCTGCATCGAATTGTGCCTTGTTTGTAAATGAATTTCTGGTAAAATGAAGTGATCAAAGGACCAAGTTCTTACTGGCACTAAAAGGTTAATGCTCTATTGTGTTTGAAAATACCGTACAAATACACTAAACCCTAAACAATAGTGTTAACTAAAGCAAACAAGAGATAAAAACATTTGCTGAAGCAACCATGTCATTTTAGTTTACTTCTATAAGTCTTTGAGCTATTTAATCAAGCCTTGTACCCAAGTGCTTCACATCTCAAGCGCAATGCTGTACCTGGGGCCTGTTTCAGAAAGGAGGTTAAATGAAAACTCTGAGTATGTTAATCCTGAAATGAGGGAAACTCTGGGTTTTCCGTTTCAGAATGGGAGGTTTGTCAAACCCGAGAAAGCAGGGTAAATCAAGCCCGTTTCTAAAAGAGAGGTATCTTATTTCAGAGTCAGCCACCATGGTGACTTACTCTATGAACCTAACCTGGTTGGGAGCAGGTTTTCTTTGGTAAATCTTTGGTGGACTGAGTTTATTACGGTCTCCTTCCCCTTTTTAAAGTGTAAGCGATGTTTAAATACCTCATTCATTCATTCACACTGCAAAAATGCTTTTCTTACTGAGTATTTTTTGTCTTTCAAGTACAAATATCAAAAAATTCTTACGTTAAGATGCAATTTCTATAGATGAAAAATTATATAAGGTATTTAGCCTTGTTTCCTGGGGCAAACAAGTGCATTTAAGAGCATTTTACATAAAACATGTAAAATTGTCCGCCATAGGGCAAGAAAAAATATCTTAATGCAAACGGAAACAAGCATATTTTTAATTTCTTACTCCACTGGCAGATAATTAGTAAAATAAGAAAAATGCACTTAAATAAAGTAAAAAAATGCCCCCGCCCCCCCCCATTGAAACAAGACTAAATGCCTTATGTCTTCTGTATGTAGAAAATGCATATTGATTTAAGAATATTTTGATATTTTGACAGGAAATAAGAAAACAAAAATTCTAAGTAAGAAAAGCATTTTTTGCAGTGCATGTATTTATTCATTGCGCATATTTTCATCATGCAGACATGGTCAAAGTGACAAAAATCAAAATGGCACCTCAAGGTATTTAGCCTTGTTTCACGGGGGAAACGAGCATTTAAGTGCATTTTAAGTGCATTTTACGTAAAATGTAAAATTGTCCACCATAGGGCAAGAAAAAGAATCTTAATGCAATCGGAAACATGCATATTTTTAATTTCTTACCCCACTGGCAGATAATTAGCAAAATAAGAAAAATGCACTTAAATTATTTCCTCCCCAGAAAAATGATTTTTCTGGTCGACTAGTAGTCGTTAATTTTAAGTGTTAGTCGACTATTAGTCGCACGTTTATTAATAAACCATTTAAATCATTATTATGAGCCTTTAATTGCCTACATAGCCTAATAAGCGCTCAAGCACACGCATAAAGCTTGCCACAGCGT